TTCTAGCTTGTACAGTCGCTCGATCTTCCTTGTATGAGCACATCCAGGAGCGGCAGTATGATGACCCTCACTTACTTGTCCTTAGGGACACGGTGGTGCCAAGCAGATTACTGTTGGAGATGGTGGGGTTTTGAGGATGCAAGGTCGTATTTGTGTGCCTAACGTGGATGGGCTTCGTGAGTTGATTCTTGAGGAGGCCCATAGTTCCCGGTATTCTATTCATCCGGGTGCTGCCAAGATGTATCAGGACTTGCGGCAGCATTATTGGTGGAGAAGGATGAAGAAGGATATAGTTGCATATGTAGCTCAATGTCTAAATTGTCAGCAAGTTAAGTACGAGCATCAAAGACCTGGTGGTTTGCTTCAGAAGTTAGAGATTCCTGAGTGGAAGTGGGAGCGTATCACTATGGATTTGTTGTTGGACTCCCACGGACTCAGAGGAAGTTCGACCCGGTATGGGTCATTGTGGACAGGCTGACCAAGTCAACACGTTTCATTCCTGTGGCAGTTACCTATTCTTCAGAGCAGTTGGGCTGAGATATATATCCGCGAGATCGTCCGTCTTCACGGTGTCCCCATGTCTATCATTTCTGATCGAGGTACGCAGTTCACCTCGCACTTCTGGAGGGCAGTACAGCGTGAACTGGGCACGTAGGTTGAGTTGAGCACAACATTTTATCCCCAGACGGACGGACAATCCGATCGCACAATTCAGATATTGGAGGACATGCTTCGCAGGTGTGTTATGGATTTCGGGGGTTCTTGGGACCAGTTCTTGCCACTTGCAGAGTTTGCTTACAACAACAGCTACTAGTCGAGGCATTATACGGGAGGCGATGTCGATCGCCAGTTGGATGGTTCGAGCCCAGGGAGGCTCGGTTGTTGGGTACAGATTTGGTACAGGATGCCTTGGACAAGGTCAAGATCATCCATGATTGACTTCGCACAGCTCAGTCTAGGCAGAAGAGTTATGCCGACCGTAGGATTCGTGATGTTGCATTCATGGTTAGAGAGAGAGGATTGCTCCGGGTTTCACCCATGAAGGGTGTGATAAGGTTCAGAAGAAGGGCAAGTTGAGCCCTAGGTATATCAAACCCTTTGAGATTCTTCAGAGAGTGGGTGATGTGGCCTACAAGCTCGCATTGCCACCTAGTTTATCAACAATTCATCTAGTGTTCCATGTGTCCATACTACGGAAGTATCACGGTGATCCGTCTCATGTGTTAGATTTCAGCTCAGTCTAGTTGGACAAGGATTTGACTTATGAGGAGGAGCCGGTGGCTATACTAGCCCGGCAGGTCCGACAGTTGAGGTCAAAGAGTTATCCTTCAATTCAAGGGCAGTCGAGAGGTCAGCCGGTCGAGGCAGCCACTTGAGAGTTCGAGTCGGACATGCGGAGTAGATATCCTCACCTTTTCACCGGTCGAGGACGAACGTTTGTTTTAGAGGTGAGAATGTGATGACCCGTAGGTCATCTAGGGCATTAATCCTTAATTCTGTATTTCGAAACCTCAAATAGCTCCTTTTGTCCTTCCTCGTTTTGCGTGCGCAGTCCGTGCCTTTTTTCAGAAGGCTTTTATGTGAAAAATTGATTAAAATGTGAAATCGTGCTTTAAAACTCACTTTGGTTGACTTCGGTTACCATTTTGAGCAAACGGACCGGGATCCATATTTTGACGGTTCTGGTGGGCCCGTATGGTGATTTGGGACTTGGCGTATGCCCGGAATCGAATTCAGGAGTCACTAGCTCGAATTATCACAATTTATTGAAAACTAGAAGCTTAAAGGTTTAAAGAATTAAAAAGTTTGACCGAAGTTTGACTTTGTTGATACGGGGTCCGGATTTTGGTTCCGGAACATAGTATAGGTCCATTACTATATTTATGACTTGTATGTAAAATTTGGTGCATAACGGAAGTGATTTGACGTGATTCGGACGTCCGATCGTTAAAATGAAAGCTCTTAAGTTTCACTAAAAATTTCATTCATTTTAGTGTCTGATTCGTAGTTCTAGGTATTATTTTTGTATTTTGATCGCGCGAGCGAGTTCGTATAATATTTGTGTGCATATTTGGTTTGGAGTCCCGAGTGCTCAGGTGAGTTTCGGATAGGCTACGAAAGTTTTGAACTTGGAATTTTTGGTTTTCTGGCTTCTGCTGTCATCTGATGGTTTCTTCTTCGCTATCGCGAAGCTACCCCAGTGATCGCGAAGAGCAGACTGGGCTGGGGAGGGGATTTACCCTATGCGAATGTGGAGAATAGGTCGCGAACGCGAAGGCTTGGGGCGGTTTAACCTCCACGAACGCGACCACCCTCACGCGAACGCGAAGGAGGCCTGACGCTAGTGATTTAAAATATTTCAAAGACGGGATTTCACCCATTTTTCACAAACTTTCCAATAGAGCTCAGCCTAGAGGCGATTTTGAAGAGAAAATTCATCACCAATTCATAGGTTAGTATACTTTAACTCATTTTCTTCCATTTCTAACATCACCCATTAATTTCTAGCTGTAATCTTTATTTTCTATGGTATAAAACTAGGGATTTAGGAAGAATTGGGGGGGGGGGGGGGTTTGCGAATTTGGGATTTAGACCTCAATTTGGGGTCGGATTTCGAAACTAGTTACATAATCGAGCTTGCGGGTGAATGGGTAAATGGGTTTTGGTCCGAATCTCAGGTTTTGACCAAGCATGTCCGGGGGCGATTTTTTTGACTTTTTGGGATAAGTATAAAAATCCTAACCTTATGCATATTAATTGATTCCCTTATCATTATTTGACGATATCGAGTCGATTTTGGTTAGATACGATTGGTTTGGAGGCGGATTCTAGAGGATGGCCCCGATAGAGCTCTGAGTTGATTGCGGAGTGAGGTAAGTGTTGGGTTTAACCTTGATTTGAGGGAATTAGGAACCCTTGATCTATGTGTTATGTGAAATTCATGTGCACGGCATATATGCAAGGCGACGAGTGTATGTACGCCGCCAAATACTTATTTCCCTATTCTTTCGCGTTTCATTAGTCATTTCACTGCATGTCTTATATGTTACATGCTTTAAATACTTCCATGATATACTGATGCTTGCCTTAAATGACTTACTTGTACCTATAGTTGTCATTTATTAAATTGACATGCTGTTTAGTATTTATTATTATGGGGAATAAGGAAGAATTGTGTTGTACGGTGGGATCAAGTTGCGCACCGCAACAGGTGAAATAGGGGTGGATTGATATGGTGAAATAAGGGTGAATTTTGATATTGATTCTGATATTCTATGGTGGGATCGGGTTGCGCGCCGCAACATACATTTATTTATCATTGTTGATATTGTTATGGTAGAATAAGGGAGGATTGTGTTGTACAGTGGGATTGGTTTGCGCGTTGCAACAGTCTATGTATTTCTATTTCCTTATCGTGTTGTGTTGGCTTCGATATTTTTATACGAGACTCTAAGGATTAGTATTTCTGGAATTTACTGTTTTTCATTCGGAGGTTGAGTTACTTTCATGTGTTAACTGCTTTTATTCGTTTCCGTATTTTTTTTCTTGCCATTATTTTATGCTGCCTACAGTTTATTGTAAGTGACTGCCTTAGCCTCGTCACTACTTCGTCGAGGTTAGGCTCAGCACTTACAGAGTACATGGGGTCGGTTGTAATCATACTATACTCTGCACTTCTTGTGCAGATTTTGGAGTCGGTCCCAGCAGCGGTTCATAGATTGCTCGGCTTGGTTATTGAGTGGAGACTTGAGGCATAGCTGCTCGGCGTCCACAGCCCCTAAAGTTCCCTTCTTATTTATCTTAGCTGTTTTTTTCCCTCAGACATCTTTATTTCTCTTCAGACCTTTATTTGTATCATTCTAGTAGCTCGTGCACTTGTGACACCAGATTCGGGGATGTATTTATATATTTTCGTTGTTTTGGTTTTCTGCGCTTTATTTCGGTTCCATCTCAGTTATTTTAGTAATTTGCATCATTTAGATTTGATTTGTTTTGAAACGGCTTAAAGTTTATCTAACGTTGGCTTGCTTGGCAAGTGAAATGTTAGGCGCCATCACGGTTCCGAAGGTGGGAATTTCGGATCGTGACAGCTGGTGAGAATCGTTCAAACCCCCTTTTCTTCACCTTCGTCTGACTCCCATGTTTCTTTATTTCAATCAGATCAATCAGGATGTTAAAATCCAAGGTGGATCTTTTGGAGTAAAGTCGGACCCTTCAAATTCCTTCAAAGCTGCCCGAACCTTCCCTCTTCTTCTTGTTTCCGTTTTGCAGTGGCCACTTGCACATCAGCACCTACTAGATTACACAATCCAAATGAGGTGATCCTATGGAAGTGGTTTTTGCTTGCCGAGATTCATCTTTTCCCGTGAGCTGAGACTAGTTGAGGTAATTTCCTCATTTTCTTTGTCTTCGCTGCCTAGTATCATTTCCAATTGACTTCTGTGTCTTTATTTAGTTTAATAATTAGGTTTCTGTGTTATAGCATAATCAATCACTTGCATTTTAATTAGGATTTTGATTCTATAGATGTACTCATAAATCTGTTACCATGCTCAAGTATTATTTATTTCCACATGTTTAGAAGCAATTAGGTTTAATTTAATTTGCTGAGTGATCTTATTTTAGAGTATTGAGCTGGGGAATGTGTTTGGATTTAAATTCTTAGGGCATGTTTTAATCTACAAACAGAGCCAGTGCAAGTCAATAGTGGATTGAGCCTAGGTCTGCTAACCTAAATCAGTATGACCCAAGCCCATCTTTAAAAACAGTAGTGAGGTGGTTATGCTTAAAAGAATAAAGGCATTAAGAAAATTATCAAGAAATTATAAAAGGAAGTTTCTAGAAGGATAAAGTTGAATTGTATAAAGAGATACGACAGAGGGATATTGAGGTTAAAAAAAGAAAATGAATCTTTAATAATTACCTAGAAGCTGCTAGGAAAGAGCTGAAAGCATTCCTATTGGCTGAGCATAGGATCCATTAGCTAGGAGAGACCCTATATAATCCCACCTCTCTCACTTAAAAAAGAGACAAATAAGATCAATTTTTTTAGACTTAGAACATCAAATTGTGAGAAATTTCGACACTATTCTCTTAATTCTTTGGAGAGAAAAGAGAGCTGAAAACAAAAAGAATTTCTAAGTGAATAGAACTCCGATAAAACTTAGAAAATCTGAGAAGATTTAGATGATCCTGTTTGGTTTTAGTCACTGATTTCTATTGAAATTTGAGCTCAAAGTTTTTTGGGTTTTTCTGCTGGTTTTGAGTTGTTCAAGGTTGTTCCTATAATTGATGAGCTCCATCATATTCTTTCATTTGGCTCATCTAGCTGTTTTTAAGCATACTAGGTAAACATTCAAAAATACTATACCTACACTTACTTAAATGATCAAGTCTGCGAGTTTCAAATTGCTTGTCCACTCAATTTCACGATTTAATAAAATAATTTTTCAAGTGTTATGAGTTATGCATGTTTAAGCTTTAAATTAAGCATGTTCTCTATTGATTTTTAGATATAGAGAAATATGTGAATTGCTTTAAAAGTTACAACATACATCCTTAATATTTCTGATTCATGTATTAGTGATTGATTTTAAAAATGGCAGTATGAAATGAAGCGTGGGTGTTAGTGCTGGGATTATGAGACTTGATCAGTGCTGAAGACTTAAAGTCACCATACCATAGTGGCTAATGAACTGGATTGGTAAAAAATAGAACCTGAGGAACCTGAATGTAAAAGTACTGATTTTTATTCTTGCACAAATTTGAGAGTTGATTAATTTATTGATAGCCATGTCTGTAATAACTCTTATATTCATGACCAAGTTTTTAATTAATTTGCGGCAATAAACTGAAAGACTAAGACCTTACGAAGGTCGTTGGGCCGACCTTCGTTGGCATCCAGCTTCATGTAGTTGATCATTCAAGGCCTAACTTTCATGGCCATATAAGCTTATTTGTCAATATTCTACTAGAATGAGCTTCACTTCGAGCCCAAAACTCTTAGATTCTTCAATAATCCAGAAAGTTTTTTCATAAAATCCCTCACTTATATTCCTATTCCTTCGCACTTGTTTAAATGTGTTTTCTTTACAACAAAAACCGTAGTGATCTCTCTCATATTTATTCACTTGAAATTTATAGACTAAAATCAAAGAAGAAAAGATAAAAGATTTAAAACTTTTAAGACTTCAACGATTTTATTAAGGTCTCAAATAATTCCTAATTGATTATTCGCTTTAGTTACTTCATTACTAGTTATTAAAAAAAATTATTAGCTATGCTCAAGTTGTAAATACTTCAAAACTTGGTAACGAGGTTGAATCGAATACCTTTCTTCACAAACAATTCCATATTCTTTGGCCTTTACAAAAAATCTCAAAGTTAGGAAATAACTCACAATATACGCTAGCATGCTTTTAGGTTCGACGATTAAATAAATTAACTATCAAAGTTACTGTGCATTCGCGTGGCATGCCTATGATCCACAAATTAAAATTTAAGTGTGCACTCCCGCGACCTGACCAACTAATTCCAAAAATAATAAATGTTATTAATCGTGGGTATGTACGTGTGGCACGAATTTTTAACACATGAAAGTGCATGTATGCGTGACTTGTTCAAGATAATTTCCATAATTTCTTATATAAGCAATTAAAAGAGGTTAAAGGTAAATATGCATAAAACCCTTTACACAGAGAATATTCGGACATTAATTAAGCCAAGTATGAATTACAAAACGACTGTGCTAGAATCATGAGACTCACGAAGTGCCTAACACCTTCTCCCAGTCAATAGAATTTCTTATCTGGTTTTCTGTATTTGCGGATCATAACTCAGAGTCAAAATTTTCTTTATTAGGAATTTTAAAATTGGTGACTTGGAACACCAAAATCAAATAATTCCAAGTAGAGACTCCTAAAAATAAAAAGAAATAAAAAATTTCAAATAATGTAACAACATGCTTTTCGGACAAAGGAAATACAATTCAATGTCAAATATCTCAATTACTTAAAAAAGAAATCATGATATAAACCAATCAATGTTTATATATGAGAGCTACTATATGAATCTAGGATGCATATGCATGCTCATGATTAAATATCAACACCTCACAATACCAACCCATATGCCCAACACTAGCCAAGTATCCAAACTAAGCACCAAACTGGGTGCCTGCGCTCACAGGGTCCAAAATAATATGGGTAATCACCTGACTTCAGAGGGACAGATCGATATCCAAGCATTGTTGCGACGTGCAACATGATCCACTAATAATACTATAATCCATAATTAATATCTGCTCATAACGTCTTTCGTGCCAAAATTCTCAACTTTCCTCATAAACCAACTCTCAAAACTCATGTATGCATGTGAGATTATGTGATAAAGACACACCAGGACATAGTAATAAAAATGCGGATGAAGATTAATACGAATACGAGATGACTATGACTAATTATGTAATTTTAACTTTCAATAACAGTTCAATAATTCCGATCATGATATCAAACATGAGCAACAAGAGCGAATAGTTATTAAATCATAAGTTAAGTAAGGATAGAATATGAATACCGCCAAATCAACAAGCAAAACCCCTAAGCATGACTTCTAATAATAGATAAGCCTCATCACGTAGTGTAGAATCAATGAAACATAGATAGACAATTAACATAGTTCAAATAAGGCATTATTTAAGTCTTCCTCTGCGTCCATAACCTAGCTACGCATATATGCTCGCCACCTCGCATACACGTGGTACCTAAGTCATGTAGAAAGTAACAAATATATCATTTGTGGGAGACTTCCCTCTTACAAGGATAAAGAAGAGACTTACCTCCACCTAAGAATATCTTTAACCTTCCAAAATAGCTTTTTTCTTCAAATTCACCTCTAAACGACTCGAATCTAGTCATTACTTAATAAAGTCAAATAATACTATAGAAGTCAAATCAAACAATAAATCTCCAATCTTTGATCAAATCTCAAAAAGTCAACAAAAGTCAACTCGGGTCCATATGGTCAAAATCCGAGTCTAGGGGTAGATCCTCACTATCCATAAACCCACAAGTCCAAATATGTAATTAGATTTAAAATCTGGGTCCAAACCAATCCTCAAATCTTTAAAATACACTCTCTTAAGTTCATACCCAAAACTCCACTTTCTATACTTTCAATCCATGGTTTAGGGGTTAAAATCCATGGAAAATCAAAATATATAATCATATCTAGGTAGAAATCGACCCTCAAAATAGTAGTAAAAATCCCTTCCAAAATCACCTCTTCTCGTGCTCCAAAACTCAAAATAATAAAAAAAACAAAAATGTCAAAATATATCAAGCTGCCAGGCCTCTCGCATATGCGCTCCAAAATCGCGCATCTGCGAGCTCGCTTCTATGGCCAAAGCCTCGCATCTTCGAGCTCTGATCCTCATGCTCCTTTCCTCTTCCGCGACCGTCACACACGCATATGTGAAAGCGCAAGTGCGACAAAACTCTGTAGGCGCGACCTCCCCAAGCATGACCAACCTCCGCAGGCACGAAATCCACCTCGTAGGCCCGACCTCGCACCTGCGTACAACTAGCTGCAGGTGCGTCCAAGCTAAAAAAAACTTGGACCTTCGCTGATGCGAACCATACATTGCAGGTGCGACTTCCGCACCTTCCTCCACAAGTGCGAGATGCACCAGCAATTAGAAAAGTTCCAGCAACACTAACATGGTCCGAAATAACCTCGAAACTCACCAAGTCTCCCGGCACCCATCCAATCATACCAACAAGTACAAATACATTATCCAAACTTATCCCAAAGCTCAAAACATCCAAAGTAACATCAAAATCAAGAATCGAAGTTCAAAATCTATCTCTTAATTTCCAAACTTTCCAACTTCGCCAAATTCGTCCGAATCATACTTAAACGTTCCGCAACCAAACTTTGCACCAACAAGTCTCGATACCTTATCCAAACTTATCCCAAAGCTCAAATATCCAAAATAATATCAAAACCAAGAATCGGAGATCAAAATCCATCCCTTAACTTTCAAACTTTTCAACTTTGCCAATCACGTAAGAAGCATATTTAAACATTCCGGATTGCAACCAAACTTAGCATACAATTCATTATCGCCATTGGGACCTATCCAAGGTCTCAAAACCACAATTGGAGTCCGATAATACCAAAGTCAACTATCGGTCATATCTACAAACTCTCCAATTCTTCAAATTGCCAACTTTCGACAAATAGAGTCAAAACCCCTTAGGAACCTCCAAATCCAAATCCGAACATACGCCGAAGTCTAAAATCACCACATCAGCTCACCAATCTGAGGCTGTCTACTCAAAAATCAGTTCCTAGGTCGACTCTTGCAACTTAAACTTCCAAAGATGGAACTAAGTGTTCCAATTCACTCTCAAACCTTCACGAGACCAAACAAACCATTCCCCAAGTCACAAACATTCGGGAAGCAACAAATAGGGGAACGGGACTCTAATACACAAAACGACCGGCCAGGTCGTTTTATTGAACCAATCTCCCACCAGAATTATAATTGGGTGACTTATCCATCGAAACTTAGATAGATGGGAAGAGATCACTTAACTATTTGAGTAATTCTACAAATCTGAATTATCTTGAGATCGAACTCGTCTCCCCCACCCCCCCACCCCCCAAAGCTCATTTTGGTGACAGAGATGAGATCTCATCAAAAGCATCATAGCTTGATTCAATTGGTATTTATTATGAAATAATCATGCAACTTTGATAGCGAAAGTACTCTTAGAACTAATCGAACATATTTCTTGGTACGAGCAAGCGTATATAATGTATCATTTCTCGACTACAGCCTACTAATCCTTCGACATATTGAAGTAAACATTTGATCTGGATACATTACATTCCTCGTACTAGGCATTGTAAGAACTAGAAGCACGTGACTCCTTAGGAAAAAACACATAATCAGCTTAGTCAAGACTCAAGAGAAATAAAATACATCTAAGGATTACAATAGACAGAATCTCTACCTGATGATTGAAAGTGATGACTGAATGAATACAAAGTACTTCCCCTTTATAATTTGCATTGCTCACTCCCAAAAAAAATATTAGTGTGTAACATCAAATGCAGGATACAAAATTTTTGGATTCGTGCAACCTTGAATCCTAATTTCGTTTTTCTAAAGCATACAACACATTTCCAACAGTCTTTATCTCAAAGTCATCAAGCAAAGGTGAAAATATTACCAAACTGGCTTGGCACCTGCTAATAGTGCCCAAGGTAAGCTTAACATCCACCTTTCTAAGACTTCAGAGAACATCTTAGTTATGTGTCCGCTTACATCATCTCTGAAAAAAGATATCCTCCGCATATAACAAACCTCCCATGACACGGCGGAAGTCATACCGAGCTCCCTCTCCTTTTGTTTCAAGCTTTGTCCTTCATTGTTCCTTTTCGCTTTGCTTCCCTAAGAGCTTTCCTCTTCTCTTCCCTGTACAATGTTTTAAGACAAGAATAGGTTATATGATCTGAAATTAAATCTCTGTTCTATTAGCACATCAGGTGTTCTATTAGCACATCAGTATTTACCAACTCGTGATCGTGAAACTAAAAATTGTACCTAGCTTTTGCAATTTCCTCTCTAGGAGGGGGTTTCTTCTTTTCCCTCCTTTTTGTCGCCACCAATTGGTTTTCTGCCTTCCCATTTTTAGTTACACCACTGTTTTGTCCAACACCTTTCTTATCTGAATGCTTTTGGACATCCCTCTTCCTCTTTTTATCACCTGCCACTTCTTCATTATTCCCATTCTCTTTTGCAATTCCCTTCTGCTCCTTATGCTTGTCATCCCCTTCAGCGTTCTGCTGGTCACTGTTCTGAATGGTTTCAGCTTCTTGTGTTTCTTCAGATTGAACCGACGATTTTGCAGCAGACTTTGAATTGCTCATCTTTTTCAACTGAGGAAAAAAACACGAGATATGGGGCAAAATGTTCTAAACTGAAACAGGGCAAATCGTTCTCAACTGAAACAAAATTGCAGCAACTCCAAAGAAGAACTGTTTCTAATCTTTCATTTGTTTTTAACAAATGTGACAATCCCACTTTATTTTTCAATCCCAAAAACAATAATCATTTCTACTTTTTTTAGAAGTAAAGATTCATAATTATTCAATTTCCACAAGCTTAATGAAAAGATGAACTGTCTGTTTGACATGAATGAGGCTTGAGTTCTACGCACAGTATAGCACCCTAAAAACTGAAGAGATACATACAGAACCGAGTGTGTATAGTGTTCAAAGAGATTTATTGCTTACGGGCAAAACTATATAAAACAAGCAGAACAAAAAGGGGGGGAATTATTTAGAAAAAAGAACACTATCAGAGGACAATTGGATGATACGACTAAGGCAGAATAAGTAATGTGGCATGTTTTCTTGTACTTCACTTGGGGCTTTACTGTAATCAATTTTAAGAACAGACATAAATGGACAGTAAAGATAGGACTTTGAATCCTCAATTACAGCTCTCTCAACTTGACAGCACATGATATCAACAAATGATACAGCATACCTTGGCTACAAAGAATCCATCCATGTTGTGAACATGAGGATAGAATCGCCTAGTCTTGTCCAAAGATGTGTGGAAACGGTGCTGCCTAAAGCGAATAAATCTGGGACTCAAAAGCAGCTCTAATTAGTTGTAGAATTAAACAACCTTCTAAGTAAATGCACATAAACACACAAGCTATTATACCCAGGCCTCCCAAAATCAAGTCCACATGGCACAAGTTTAACATCTCTCTTCTTAAGTGCATAGTCTATAACTGCTTCATTCTGCAATAATCAAGTTGACCAAAATAAGTAGAAATTGACATGCATTCTAACACTTAGAAGAAAGGTACCCTTTTTTTTGAAGATTCATTTAGAAATATAAGTTTAGAAAAATACCTCGTCAACCATAATGGAGCAGGTAGAATACACTATGTATCCACCTGATTTTGAGTTGGCATCAACCATGTCAATTGCTGCAAGTATCAGTTCCTGCAGATGAAAATTGACAGATGAAAAAGGTTTCTCAAAAGCAAGTAGGCAAAACAATATGTGAAACGGGGGAATATAGGATAAACAACACATTATGGAGCAAAATTAACAAGATGAACCTTCCAACACCCTCCTGCTTTGGTAGGGTACAGATAATAACACCCAAAAAAAAGGCAAACAAGGCAACTAGAATTGCAATATCTGTCCCCCTATATTGCAACAAATAAGATCAATGAAATCAATTATTAGAAACAAAGAAAAAATGTTCAAGTCTCCTTGCAACTCCAAAACTACAGCTTTTCAGAACCAGTATTTTCTAACAGCCTGAGAAGTCAAATTCTGGCATATACTTAATTTAAATTTTTTTTTATCAAGCTGGCAATATACTTTATTTTTTTATAAGTAATCAAAGATTTTATAAATGCTTGCACTAAGCCAGTGGAACAAAAACATAACTACAAATTGTAAAAATCCCCTATTGTGCAAATACCAAGCAGGAATATACTTTACACGGGTTCTCTTATTAAGCATGACAAGCTCTCATGGAAATTATTATGATATCCTTCTACAGCGCAAAATGATTGAAAGTTTACAAATATGAATAACACAAAATCACCAAAATTACATGTCAAAATCATTTATACCTTCTGCAGCTGTGAGCAATTTTGTATATCAGCGGCATTTTTGGATGTTTTAACAGACTCATCCTTGGAGATTACCTGCAGAACAAATGAAATTCATAAGATTAAATATGATTGCAGACAAGCACTAACATCAAAACATTACCACATACCCCAGTGCCACTGCAGGGAGCATCCAGCAAAATCCTATCAGCAGTATTCTGACCCAAAACTTTAGGCAGCTGAAATGATTCCCAGACAAGGTTTTATATTAGATCACAGGACTTTGTTATCACTATGTAAACCAAGAAACAGATGGACACAAGGACACCAAATCTTTATTAGATCAGTGGATGTTGCTCCATGAAATTAGTGCAGAGCTACTTCAAATGAGTGCTCATAATGGGCAAGGTTGAACAACACTGTCCAATATGAAATATAAAGGCATATAAAAATAGAAGTGCAGTAAGTTCTAAAGGAAAGATTGCAAAATACTCCAATTCTAACCTCTCTTCCATCATAGTTACACACAATGGTGTTTGTTACCCCCATACGATGTAAATTAGCAGTGAGCGATTTAAGTCTTGACTCCTTCATCTCATTTGCATAAATAATACCTAGTTTTCAAGGTGAAATATGTCAGTGTCGTTCAGACCGACTGAAATGGCAAACGCTATTAATCAATAATTAAGAACATAGGGTTATACTTGCAAATAACTCCAAAAGCAGAACCAGGGTGAAGAGAGAACTTAAAAAATAATATATCATGGCAAACATTGTTAAATCACAAAAGCTTATGACAAACACCAGGAAGTATATAATGCACACCAGGAAAAGATATTCATTCAATATAATCTATTTTTGAGAAACCAACAAAAATCTGAAGAAATTCACTAGAGCAAGCAAACAGATTGGCGACTCAGGTTAACATAAACTACTTTGACTATGAATGATGTACATGAGCGCATCATAAAACAGAACAAAAGCATCCAGTAAATTTTGGTTCGCTGCATTATAAATTAGAAGAACAAGAAATTGAAAACAATGAGTTTTTTATTAAGGAAATGGAGAAAATGAATATTGACACATGGGCAGCAAAATGTATTTATAATTCATTCACCCATTGGTATCCATAAACTATTGATGCATTATGGAGAAAATGGACTTCTGCACAAGAATACAACACCACCACCACCACCAACAACAACAACAACACAGTAATATACCACGAGTGGCGTCTGGGGAGGGTAGAATGTACGCACATCTTACCCCTACACCGGAAGGGTAGTAGAATACAACACCATTAACTGCAAATGAATACATACCACTATTTTTCATCAGTGCAGCAACATAAGTTGTTTTGCCTCCAGGAGCAGCACTGCACCATGTAAAAATTGCCCACTTTAGAAGACAAAAGTTAACAAAAGAATACCACTTTCTGCTTACTGAACTAACAAGTAAAAGTTTGCAGAAATTGTTTTACCTGCTCTCTCAAAAGAAAAGATATAAAAATTGCATAACTTGAACCTAAGTGGCTAAGACGGACAAAACGATATCCAAGACAAAGTTGCTGATTTAACAAAGGTTGTAGCTTAGTGGTCAACGAAGTGGGTTGAGAACCATGAGGTCTCTGGTTCAAATCCCAGCGAGGCAAAACATAAGGTGATTTCTTCCCTTCTGTCCAATCCTTAGTGAACATAGTTACCCGGTACCTGTGCTGGAGGGAGGTAGCAGGTACCCGTGGAATTAATAGAGGTGCGCGCAAGCTGGCCCCGACACCACGGTTATCAAACAAAGAGGAAAAGAAGATGCTTTATTTCTTCAATAAGCTTTTTCCTACACTATCCAAATATGCACTGGACAACTCTTTCAGCAATCAAACTTGAAAATTCTTACTGATACACAAAAAAGGATCAAAACAGAATAAATCATAAAAGATCTCAGTTTAAAACTAACTGAATAGTAAAAAGTTCAATGATAGACAATTGAAGCAAACATTTTTTACACAATTATTTACTTACGCCATATCAACAACACGCTCATTCTCCTGAGGGGCAAGGGCCATTACGGGCAGAAAAGAGCTCGCACTTTGGAGCTGTAAGCAAGTTATTTTGTTAAAAATAAGCATGACAGTTGAATACTAAGAGCAAAGCCACAATTTAAAGTGTAATGTCAGGATTGGATACCATGTAATGACCAGCCATATACTCAGGAGTGGCACCAACTGGTACTTGAGAATCGTACACAACTAGTCCAACCTACAAAGTCAAAAATTCATATGCTGAAGTAAGCAAGGATACATATGAAATATGAAAATAAGAAATAACAGATCCAAATTGGCACCGAAATAATGGGTCAACCCAAAGAAAAGACAGAATCACAGTTAATCCTTGTACCTTTGACCATTTGCTTAATGGGTCCAAATTGACACCTCTGTTCAGAAGAACACCAGCTAAATCCCGTCTGCGAGTCTGAAATCCCGTCACAGCAATACACTATGAGTCGGCCATCCGAGCGACAAAAAGTAAGGATAGAAAAGAGGCAGAGAAAGACATGACCTTTAAAGTGTTTGTCCGTAGAGAAATCGGGCGGGGCTTTTCAAATGCTTCAATAAGTTCAATCAGCTCAACAGGGGGAAACATCTGCAGTAAGGTCAATCATCCACATTGAAACAAAATGCAACTTGAAAATGGAAAGAACGAAAGGGTGCAGAATCTAGACTACTTTGGGCTATAAATTACCTCCACTAACACCTCAATCAGAAAATCATTGTATCCATAATATGAACCCAAGTCCCTTTTAAGTTGATCAACATAATCCTTCCGTGTCACACCCTCTTGCCTCAATGTCTTAAAATTTGAAAGCACTCGAACAACTGCATTTATATTTGAATGATAAAGCTACCTCTGAGAAGAAAAAATAATTTGGGAAGGGAAGATGAAGGAGAAGAAACTCACTCTCTTTTATCCTCCTTTGGAGATTGGAGAGATCCGGGGGTCTGTGTGTTTCTTCTTCAAGCTCCTAAATTATACGATGACATATTCAGCATTCACATAGTTTTTTTCCTGCACGAGTGTTTGACAAGCCAAACCTCTAATCAAGAACTTGAACATTAAGCAAACCTCAGTTGTTGGTAGCCTGAACTCATCAGCTTCTTCCTTAATATTGAGCTGCAATTCTGCTTCAGCGTCCTCCTTTACTCTTTCCCTTTCTTCATCAATAGCTTTTGACTTCCTTACAAGATCAGTATCATCTGCATCTGAATCAGAATCTACATCTGAATCTGCTGAACCATCGTCTGCAGCAGAAATGACAAAACAAACAAGAATGGCTAGTGAGTCATAAATCTCGGTAAGATGGCTAAAATTAGAAAACCAGTGCACTAAGTCAGTAGAGTACCAGCATCACCACTTGCTAATATATCAGCAGCAAAGGAATCGTCCAAGTCAGAAGACATGTCAGAATCTGAGTTCATTTCCTGTTGTTCTTCATCACCAAAACCTCCATCATCTTCTTCAAAATCCCCATCGGTTCCTTCACCGTCACTAATAAAAAGATCTTCCTTTTCAAGTGGCTTAGGTGGCAGAGGTTCCTTCTTTTGCTTCTTCTTGGTAGGGGATTTTCCTAATTTAGAACCCGCTTTCTTACGGAGTTTGGGACCAGCCATTTAAGCTAAAAATAACAATACCAACACTTTTAGAAGATGGTATACAAGCTTCCTATTTACATCCAAAAACAAGCATAATTTCACCCATCATTCCTACAAGATACGGTAAAAAGGCAATAGTTCAAGCTTTATGACGTTCTACCAGTAGAAGGATGTAAAAAATTCCAGGTTTTAACAAAAGTACAAACATTTCACAAAAACTTGTACCACAAAGAAAATCAACAAAATCCTATTCTATAATCTACAGTACTTAAATTTTCAATGAAATGCTTAGTACAAATATTTAGCCTACACAAAAATAATTTTCAGCATATGGGTACAAAGTAAAAACAACCTAATACTGCACGAAAAGTAGAGAAACTTACTGAAACAGAAACGACGAAAGTAGAGAAAGGAAGTGAAACAGTCTTAAGGCAGCGAGGAGGACAGCAAAGGGAGAGAGGTTTTAGAGGTTTTAGGTTATTTCAGGTTTCGATTGTATTTATTTACATTTAGTTCAGGTTATTTGTATTTATTTACACTAAAGTCCCTCTTTAACTAGCATATAATTGTTAAGGTCTTGAACTTCTGCAGAAGATTCATTTAGTTCCTATAATCTTATGTTTCTACTTTTTTTTTTTTTTTTTTTTTTTTTTTTTTTTTTTTTTTGGCGTTGTCCTATTGTTATGGGTTTTTTTTTGGCAAACAAGAAAATTTTATTCATTACTAAGTAGCATGGTTACATGGTCTGGTCCTCCCATTGGGAGTAGACGTAGGCATACTAGTAGAAGTAGCATTACAACCAAAAGATGACATTACAGGATTTCCCAGCATAGCCAAATTATTTAACACGACAATATTAGTGGTGGTAGTCCTAGTAACATTAAGTCCTTCTATATCAGCCCGCACAGCATCTCTAAGGTAGTCGGGGACTTCTAAATATATCTAACTATAGTAGACATTGGCTTGCTGGATTCCATGTTGTGCCATATCATGTGCTATCTTGTTGCCTTCCCTGAAATTGTGTAGGATTGGTGGATTTCCCAACATCTTCAGCTAGTACCTGCATTTAGAAATAAGTGCATTATATGGTGGATAATAATTAGATTCATTATGGTATAGAAGCAGAGTCTGTCTCTATTTGAAAATTTGTGAATTGCTAAGCTAGTGCTAGTTGTAAGCCATAGCATAATGCCTCAATTTCGATATAGAGAGGAGATAGGCCAGTAGTTGTTTTAGTAAAGCCTAGAATCCATTTCCCAGTCGAGTCTCTGAACACCCCACCTATCCATCCTTGTTTAAATCTACCCTTAAAAGCTCCATCTATATTTAGCTTCAGTTGGTGGATAGTGGGGGGTTCCCATTTGGTAGCGACTTGTAAAGGTCTGTCTAGTTTGTTGCAGTTGATGTTACTACAATGCAAATATTCCATGGCTCTTGAGATAACATGATTGCTATCTACTGAGTTGCACAGATTATGGACGTTGTTCCTATTTCTATATAGCCAAAGAAGCCAAAGAGTGAAAGAGAAAAGACAATCCCATGTCAAAGAATGGCAGACGATATGAGGTTTTTGCTTGTAAAGGTTGTCCAGCCAGTGGGCACATTGGGTATCAATTGATTGAATGCTCACACCTAGAGCCTCCCATAAGTGTTTTGCTATTGGGCAAAATAGAAAAATATGCTGAGATGTTTCCTCAGTGGTGGGGCAAGCTGGGCAGTACAAGGGAGTAGCAATCCCAATGTGATTCAGGAAGGTTCTTGTAGGTAGTCGATCATGGTAGCATTGCCATATGAAATATTTAAGCTTATTCCAAGTGTTTAGTTTCCAAAGCCAAGCAAAGTTTTTACTTTGGGTGTGAGTTGCATTAGAGGTGATAAGAGGGTTGTGGTGAAGATACCATCACTGGTGAGTGCCCATACCGGAGTATCAGTGTGGTTGTAGATATTTATAGGTTGGAAATATTGGATTTCAGTTAGAATATGGGATGGAAGCTCAAAGGATAGCTGTGATAGGTCTCATGTCCTATTAAAGAAGATATTTGAAATCTTGAGAGTTGAATCTTTGTATGATAGGGGACCTTGGATCATGCTTCGTATGCTTTTTATACATGGCAGCCAGTTTGCATGCCAAAAGTCTACGTGTGAACCATCTCCAATATGCCATGCAATAGCATCTTTACAAATGGTCCATCCTGTGAGGATGTTTTTCCATATGAAGGAGTGAGATGTATCTGAGTATCGACCACCGTATTTGGAATTAAGAACTGTTGCCCAGATAGCAGTGGGATGGATAAAGAAACGCCAAGTGAGGCTTTTAATAGCCACTTTGTTTTTATCCAAGGATTTTCTTATCCCTAGACCCCATCATGCTTGGGCAATGAGACAGTGTCCCATTTTATATAATGAATTTTCCTGGATGTTTGATTGCTACCCCACAGGAAATCTCGTTGAATTTTGTCAATTTGACGGTGTGTTTTTGTGGGCAGCATGGTGTATTGCATAATGTGGTTAGGGAGGGCATTGAGAGTGGTTTGAATAAAAGTAGCTCTCCCTGCTAGTGATAGGAATTGTGTTTTCCAACTAGTTAGTCTTTTATTAAGATTGTCAAGGATGAAATTGTAATCCGTTGGCTTAGGTTTGTTACTCAAAATTGGAAAGCCTAGGTATTTCCCAAAGGTGTCACTAACTTTGATATTAAGGATGGCAGACATAGTATTTTTTTGAGTAGTAGAGCAGTTATTAGAGAAGAGTAATTTAGACTTTGTGTGATTTATTTGTTGCCATGATAGTCTACTAAAGTAGTCAAGACAACACTTGATTGTGTAGGCAAATTTCTCATTAGCTGCTGCCATCAAGGTTAGATCATCCGCAAAGAATAAATGGGAGAGGGATGGCCCGTTTGAGCTAAGTTTAATAGGGTCCCAAAGAGTTAAATCGACTTGGTGATTGATAAGGGTAGACAGAAGTTCAATACATAGGATAAAAATGTATGGTGACATAGGATCACCTTGTCTAATGCCCCTTGATGGCTTGAAAAACTCTATTTGGGATCCGTTAACCAGGACAGCAATACTAGAGGTAGTAATGCAAGACATGATGAGTTTAGTGATTCTGGGTGGAAAGTGAAAATAGTGGAGGGCTCTACGAATAAAAGACCATTCAAGGCGATCAAATGCCTTTTCCAAATCAATTTTAAGGAGCATTTTTCCTTTGTTTCCTTTTATTTTCTTGTAGTGGTTGATAATTTCTTGAATGAGAATGGCATTATCAGCCGGCCGTCTTCCTTTGAGAAAGCTTGATTGAAAAGGGCCTATGAGGGTGTCCAGAAAAGGTTTGAGACGGTTGACAATGATTTTGGTAATGACTTTGTAAGTTGTATTACAAAGCCCAATTGGCCTGAAATTTTTCAGCTCGTTGGCATTAGGGAATTTGGGTATCAGACAAAGGAAGGTAGTATTAAGCTGCTCAGACATGGTGAGGTTTTCAAAGATGGAGTGACAGTAATCAAAAACCGTTTTATGGACAATGTGCCAATATTTCTGATAGAAGAATGGGTGTAGCCCATCCGGTCCCGGAGCTTTGAAAGGCTTAAATGAAAAAATAGCCCTAGTGATCTCATAATTTTGTAGTGGTTTATCCAATGCTAATAAATCAGTAACGGAGGATGAGATTGGGGAAGCTTGAATGCTTATCCAATTTGATGATTCGTGACTTGTTTGGTAGGTGTTGTGGAAATAATCGAAAGTGTGTTGAAGGATTTTATCTGGATCATTAATCCAATTGTTATGATCATCCTTAAAAAAAGGAGATACGATCTTTCCTTCTCCGATTAAATGCTTATATGGAAAAATTTAGTACTTGCATCACCTTCACTAAGCCAATTTATACGTGAACGAAGTTTCCAATAATCCTCTTCTATTTTTAAAAGATTGCTATACTCGTTAGTGAGGGTTTGCTCGAGATTTTTCAAGAAGACACTCGTAGGATAGTTGGTGGATTTTTGGATCCCACTAAGTCTTGCCAGAAGAGTTTTTTTTTTTTTTAATAACATCGCCAAAAGTGTTGGCAGCCCGGTATTTTATTTTATTAGTGAAAAGAGTGGTAGCATTGGATAAATTTTGCCCATTCCAGGTGTCCATAACCATAGAAGTAAATTCCGGGTGATGGCACCAGTAGGTTTCAAGATGAAAGATACGTTTAGTATGAAGCCTAGTGCAATGGGATAGTGAAATGAGGAGGGGTGTGTGATCAAAATATGTCTTAGGAAGATGGGTAACAAACGCATCAGGGTAATATTCAAGCCATTGTTCATTAATAAAACACCTATCAAGTCGTTCTAAAATTAAGTCGGAGCGATTATGTCTATGATTGACCACGTGTATTTTGCCCCCTTAAAACCAAGATCCATAAGTTGACAGTGGTTGATACAAGACTGAAAACGTGAGGCTCTATTACGATTAATAGGTCTACCTCCCCATTTATCTTGTTGACTAGATACTTCATTGAAATCACCACCTAGGAACCACATGCCTTTGTAATTGTTAGCAATATTTTCTAAGTTTAACCAAAGTTGAGACCTAATATTTACTTTAGTGCTAGCATAAACAGTACTGAACAACCAAGGTTGGTGATGGGGAAGTACCTGGATCATCGCATGGATTTCCTGACCATCAAGGCGTATATGACTGAGTTGGACAATGGAGTCATGCCAAAGGATAGCAATTCCCCCAGACTGACCATGAGCAGGGATCTCCACCATGTTAGAAAAGTGGAAATCATCTCCAATGCTTATGTGATTGGTCATTCGAGTTTCCAGAAGGGCAACTAGAGAAGGGTTGTGAGTATTCAGAAGGTCCCTGAAATGGCGCTTGAATTCATCATTGTTTCCACCCTTGATGTTCCAAATGACAAAATTGGGAAGTCTACTCATTGAGGGATCGAGAGAGGGATGTTGTAGGACACTGCCCTTCACTGAGGGGCTTAGTATGACTGCGAAGTTGCCTACTACCTCGTTTAGTGGAGGCCTGATGTCGAGGGAACATTTGTACAGTTCCTGTGGGCACTTGCTAATAGACTTCTTGTCCTCCATTGCCTGAAATAGCATGATCTTGACTGCGTGTAGGTTTGAAATTTCTGTGAACGATGTTATGTTTAGTGGTGGGATGATCTGCTCTTGCCTCACTATTCCTTCCTCTTCTTGTATGGGTGCATTGTGATGGAGATGGGGTTGTGCTTGGTGAATATCCATCGGTGGTGGGAAGTGTTGTGGCATAGGCTGCCATGCATGGATCAAGGGAGGAGTGTTTTGATCCTGTGGAGCAAAGAATGGAAGTTAGTAAAGGAGCTGCATGTTCCGCAGTGGATTGTAGTGGTGTGGAAGGTTCCGATGGGCTTGCATGTTGTGGAGTAGAGCAGGTGCTAATGCTAGAGCTATGGGGTCGAGGACATTCGTCAACCAGAGGTGGTTGATGTAGTTTGACATTGCTAGCCTCATTCCCTCTGAGATTAGTTGTGCTAGGATCTGACGGTTTTGAAGGACAAATAGAACCTCTTGGTTCTGGATGTTCAACGTGAAGAAGGTTGCCTGTCCCTGAAGCCCTTGTTCTAACCATGTCGTTGGTTGATGGTCCTGTGGGAGGGCATTTGTGACATATATCGGAAGATTGGGGTTCGGTATTTGATTGTCCATTCTGGATAGTATGGATGGACGTTGATGAGGGGAAAGTTGGCTTAGTGGTATTCTCCTCCTTGTGAGAGATTGTGGTGGATTCATATTGTGGAGGGGGAGATGTAAAGGTAGTAGGAACTTGGGGTTCGTAAGGCAATGATTGAGTATCTATTATAGGGGATTGGGTTTGCATGCTTTGCTCAGTTACTTCCGATCCTAGATTATCCGTCATTGGGGAATTAGTTTGCATGGCCACGTGGCCAGTGTTGGATGACAAGTCATCAAGGGGTGTATTAGGGGAATTATGAAGAAGAGAGAGCATGCCAAGTAGTTGTTTAGGAGGTGGGGCCGCTGGTTTACCTAGAGTGGTATGGATGCATGCAGCTGTTTTGCCATGTGGACATCCAAGTTGGGGAGTAGGGGAATGGTTTCGTGTGGGTAAAGAATGAGCATTGCCTGTGGATTGGCTATGGATTATTTCATCCAAATCCATTATGGCAGATTCATCAACCCTTGTTAAATCATTATTATCAGCTAGCAGTGATGAAAATTTATTAGAGGTTAGAACAAAAGTGGTAGGATTAGCACTAGGACTGTAATGCTTTTTAGTAGATTGATAGGTAGTTTCGTGCATAGTTGGTTGCTCAGCAGTATTAAAAGATTTAGGCTTAAAATCTAGTTTTTGATTATTTAGAAATTTACCTGATGCCGATTAAATATATTGATACTGATACTTGGTTGTTGTCCTTAATCTTTGACCTGTGAAGGAGCGGCAGTGTATCGCTTGTGCTTGTTTCCTCTGGGAAATGACACTGTTTGCCACAGATCCTCACTTGTTTGTCCCTTACCTGTGGAGTTTGAGGAGATGACCCAGGGTCCTGTTTGTATTTGTTTCACTGTAACTGTTTTAGGATAGATGCATGAAGGTGCTGTGTGACCCAATCGACCACATGCTTTACACAAGAAGTTTTCTCCTTCGTACAGTAATTGTTGTAGATGATAACCAATTTGAACTGCAGTTTGGACCGGCTGGTCTAGTGGGACTTGCACACACAGTCTCACATACCTTCCTCTGATTGTTGAACTTGTACAAGCATCTATACGCAATAGCTTCCCAATTGAGTTTCCAATTCTTGCAAGCACTATCCCATCGTAGAATTCTGTGGGTAATTGAGGAAGACGAACCCAGACAGCTAAGTATACTTCTTTAGCTTTGCTAGCAACAAAATTAGGCTCCCACCTTCTAACAGAGAGGTAGTGGCCATTAATAAACCATGGTGCTTGTTGTAAAGTTTTTGCCATATTTTCTTCCTTGGTAAATTTAACTACGTAAAAGTCTGATCCGATATCAATTAATGGGAACGGTTCGTTTGGTTTCCAAAGGTCTTGGATCTTCCTTTTTAGGTACTGATGGACCACTCTTTTAACTAGGAGTTTGATTATGAGAGAGAATTGCCATGGTGAGTACATTCGTTCTCTGTTCTCGTCTGTTAGGGAGATGTGTTTGAATTGGGAGGACAGAGTTTCGTCGGAGGATTCATCTCTCATTGGCTCAGAATAATCAATCATGTTGATGTTGGAATTAATTAGAGTGTCTGTTATAATTTCCTGGGAGAGTAATTTCTCCTTAAATGAGGCAGTATTTGAAATATTTGGGGTGGAATTAGTAGTTGACGTTGAATGATCAGTAGGTAAATCCGGTGGTTTCGGTGGAATGGATGCATGGGATGTAGTTCCAGTTGTTTCTGGGTTCATTCCTGGGAAATGAATCTAGAGTTTAAGGGCGTGGGTGAGTAGAGAGAAGGCACTGAATTATTTTGATGTTTTAACTCCTATTGTTATGGTTAAAGATCTTTCCTCATCTTTTTCATTTGGTTTGGAGTATGAGGTAGGTCTTTTTTTTCTCAAAATTGCACTCTATAGTTTAACTTAATATCTTTAAAATTAATTTTTCAAAGTTCAGCGCTAGAGTAGATTTTTAATATTTATTAATCACATGAATAATTTCTAATGTTTATAATAAAGTAAAATATGATGCTTGAATCAAATTGTGAATGGCTAATCTAAGTGACGAGAAAAAGAGAAAAATATGTGGTTATACTTAATTTTAAAATGTACTTAAATTTTTTATAGCTATCTATAATACGTAATCTTTTTTTAGATAAACTATAGTTTGGTATTGGTCTTAAAATTTATAAGAAGAATTAATCTAAATAGACGCACGTATATAATCCATATAAAAGATGTGTATAACTCTATAATCTATGTATACTGGCCAGAAAAGGTAAACAGTTAATCACACCGGCTGCTTATGTAAAGATTCCAATTTATAAACCTGTTTGATTTGGATAATTTTGCTTGATTAAACTATTTCTTAAAATTATTTTTTTTTAATTAGATTAGTGCTTGCTATTACATAAAAACATATGCAACTTAGCTAACATTTTTTCTAGTAATATTGATTAATACAAATCAATATGCTTACAAAGTTTTACGTAAATAATCATGTTCGTACATAATCCAAACTAAACAGGACAATTACAGGTGTTTGAAATAGTTTACCAAAATGCATAATCACCACTTATGGAACAACATTCTCTCCTTGAATTTTTGCTTGTTAGTTGAGGACATTTGTTTTGTAATTAGATGTTTATTTATAAAAATTGTATCGATTAAGTAAGTATATCATATATTTGTATAGAGTATACAATTAGATTAAACAAAATTTTACTCTTGAATGAAGAGAGGGGATAGAACTATTCTGTTAGGGGATTTGGAGCACTTCGAGAGTTAACATGATTTTAGGTATTGTAGGCATATTAAGCTCAGGGAGGTTAAGGGAGCTATGCGCAAGATGGGTAGGGGGAAAGCGATCGGGTCATACGAGATTCTGGTGCAATTTTAGAAAAATACGAGCAGAGCAGGTTTGGAATGGATTACTAGGTTATTTAACGTTATATTTAGTACGACAAAAATGCCTAAAGAATGGAGGTGGAGTACAATAATTTTATTGTACAAGAACAAGGGTGATATTCAAAATTATAACAACCATAGGGGCATCAAGTTGCTAAGACGCACTATGAAAGTTTGGGAGAGGGTGGTGGAGATGCGGGTGAGGTGGAACATGTCTATTTTCGAGAATCGGTTCGAATTCATGCCGGGGCGATCAACCACATAAAACATCCATCTTGTGAGGAGATTGGTGGAGCAGTATAGGGAGGGGAAAAAGAATTTTCATATGGTGTTCATTGATCTAGAAGAAAAACATAAGACAAAGTCCCAAGGAAGGTTTTTATGAAAATATTTAGAGGCTAAAGGTGTACCTATAACATACATTAGGGTGATTAACGACATGTATGATGGAACCAAGACCCGAGTTTGGACAGTAGGAAGTGACTCAGAACACTTCCCAGTCGTGATGGGGTTATGATAAGTATGATTTTTAACCACTTATTAGAACCTTCTTACTATAGTTTTTAGCTCGAATTTAATAGTTTTTGTCTCGGAATCTAATGAAAATGGTTGAATTGCAGGTGTGCTGGAGAATGTGAGCTCAATAAAGAAAAATAATTCAAAAATGGAGGATCTAGACAAGTTCAACAAAGAGGAGAAATGCTAAGAAAAGTGTGCTCTGCAGAATTCCATCTGCGACCGCAAAAGCAAGTGTGATCTGCAGAAGATGAAATGGGCCGCAAAAGTAGAATTAGAGCTTCAGGAATTTTTGGCAGAAGTGCGATCCGCAGGCTAAAATGCGTTCGCACTTGGTATGCAAAAATAGGTTCGTACTGACAAATCCTGAAAGATCAGAAAATGTGCAATCGAACAAGTTTGAAGCCTCCTCACATGTGGCCCGCAGCAATTCATGTGCAGCCGCTGAAGTTGAAGTGCGGCTGCAGAAGCTAATGTGCGGTCGCAGAATTCCTCCAACTGAAAGCACCCACAACATTAACCTAGCAAAGTGCAGACCGCAAAAGTTAATGTACGGCCGCAAAACCCTCTGAATAGTATTTTTGTCAGAAATTTGGAGCACTATAAATAGTCGTGTATCACGTTTTTGGGGCATATTTTCATATTGTATTGATAAGTGCGGATTTTAACCAGTTATTAGTACCTTATTCCTTTAGTTTTTAGTCCGAAAGTAATGATTTTTGTCTCCAACTAATGAGAATGGGTGAATTGTATGTATGTTGGAGATATAAGCTCAATGAAGAAATCCAACTCAAAGAGGAAATATTTCAGGTAAGATCAGTCAAAAGGAAAAATACAAGAACAGTGCGGTCCGTAGAATTCCATCTGCGGCCGCAAAAGTAAATGTGGCCCGCAGAAAATGACATGCGGCCGCAGACAAAGATCTAGAGCTTCAAGGATTTTTGGCAGAAGTGCGGTTCGCAAACAAAAAAGTGCGGTCGCACTGACTAGCCTAAAAGATCAGAGAAGATGCAATTGAACAAAGTCCGAAGCCGCCTCAAAGTGCGATCCATAGCAATTTAGTGCAACCGCAGAAGCTAAAGTGCGGTCGCAGAAGCTAATGTGCACCGCAGAACTCCTCCAACTGAAAGCACTCGCAACAGTAACCTACCAAAGTGCGGACTACAGATGATAAAGCACGACCGTAGAACCCTCCGAAGGGTATTTTTTTCAGGAATTTCGAAGCACTAAATAGACATGAAATATTTTTTTAGGGCATCGTTTTGTATTGTACCAGCAGCTTGTAGTTATTCTTCGCCATTTGGGGAAATTTTGAGCTACAATAAGAGATGATCAATCACTTTTCCATTTTAATTTAGTTTTATGTCTTCAATTTCTTCTTCTTTTTATTTTTCTATGTCAATAGCTATGAGTAGCTAGATTTTATCTAGGGTTGTGATCCAACCCTAGTGTATAAAACTTATGGATGTTTAATATTAATGATTGCTATTGATGGGTTAATTTTATTTAGCCTTATTTATGCTTTATAGTTAGAATTAATGGTTGCAAACGTTGATTCATGCCTATTTGGCTTTGTTCATAGTTTCTTACTTGAGAAAGAGGAATTTAGTCTAGGAAAACTTGGCTAACAAGAAATTGAACTAGTTGAAGTATCGATTAGTTTAATTAAAGGATTTGAACTAGAGATAGGGATAATCTAACTTGGACTCGTGTTCAATTGTTTTGATTGCTACCCATTTGGATTTGTGAGAGACAATTTGGGCATAATCACTCTTTAACCAAAAGGTATTGAGTGGGTACTTGTGTACTGAGAGTCATAACAAACCCTGATCTACTAAGCAAGTATAGATTCACTCTACCCATTAGGTTTCACCTAGGTTAAGGTTACAATCCTTGGTCTTTCTCTATTTGATAAAAACTTCAAAAATATTTTAATCGTTACTTGTTCATTAGTTAGTTAAATTTCTTAGTAGTTTAATTTAGAAGAAATACCACCCACTTTTGTTTGGAAGCTAAATCTAGCTATTTCGAGTTTCTTCCTTAAGTGTTTATCTTAACACCCATTTTAAACTCCTTGTAGATTCGACCCTGACTCGCGTTGGGTTTATTATTGTAATGATCGTTTCATATTCCTTAATTGGGTGTGAATTGGACGTGATCAATTTTTGGCCCTTGCCGGGGAGTTTACGGTGGTAGCTATGTACTTGAGTTTGTTTCTTGAAGTATCTTCTTTAGCTTTCGTGATTCTTAGTTGTTGAAGTGATTGTAGGTTTCAAATGGTGAACAACGAACTTGGAAAAATACCATTAGGAGAGGTGGATGGCAAAGAGGAACAACTTGATGAAATACCACAACTTCCACAACAAAACCGCCGAGGCCGGTCGTATTGAGAACATGTTCAAGCAAATGATGGAATAAACCACGGATTCGGATGCCAACTTGCTAATCACACCACATCAATCCGTAATCTTGAAGTTCAAATAGGGAAAATTTCTCAAGCTCTTAATACTCACCCTAATGGTTCATTACCAAGTGACACGATAGTTAACTCGAAGGGTGGTAGCAATATGGGAAATGCTATGACGGTTATCACAAGAAGTAGAAGAGGCAAAAATGCACCCACCTCAAACAAAAAGCAACATATGGATGATGACCAAGTGATCCAAGAGGAGAAAATCCCTCAAAATGATGTTCAAGTGCATGATGATGTTCAAATGTGATATTGATGATAGTGTGGAGGAGACCTGAGAAAAGGTGAACCCGTCTAGGGAACACATCATTGACATATTGGATCCGGTAGTGCAAAAGGCTAAGGCACCCTTGCCAAAGCCCTAACCTCCTTACCCTCAAAGGCTTGCCAAGCAAAATGGTAAAAATCAATTCACGAATTTCATTCAAATGATGAAAGGTCTCTCTATTAATGTGCCATTGGTAGAAGCTTTGGAAAAAATGCTCGATTATGCCAAGTTTATGAAAGATCTTATGACCAAGAAGAGGTTGATAAATTTTTAAACAATCAAGGTCACTCATCAAGTGAGTGCAATTGTTCATTTCATGGCTCCTAATTTGGAGGATCCAGTGCTTTCACAATTCCTTGTACTATTGGAAGTGCCGATTTTGCTAAAGCTCTTTGTGATCTTGGGTATTAATTAGATGTCCTATTTGGTGTTCAAAACATTGAGGATTGGGAAACCGAGACCCACTTTTATGAGGTTGTAAATGGTCAATTGCACAATGAAGCGACCGTTGGGAGTGATTGGGGATGTATTGGTCCAAGTTGATAAATTTATTCTTCCGACGGACTTTGTGTTTCTAGATTACGAGGT